AAAAAAAAAAAAAAAATGGAAGAGAAAAGAAGATAAATAAACTTAGAAATGTTTATAATCTTTGCCTTTTTTGAAACGAGATCCTAGTTTTAGAAGTTCACTGTACAAAATTTCGATAAAAATATGCTGAATCGTGTTATAGACGAAGCAAAAGATTAAAGTGTTACATATACCAATGGGATTCGTCAATTGCCACAATATTGGTAATTAAATTACATAAAACTACTTCTGTTTAGATTTAGTTAGATTTAGAATATTCAATTATTCATTTATCAGGTTCAACGTATAAATATAGAGATACAAAAATAGTACAATACATTAAAATGCCTTTTGACTACTTGCATACTTACGTAAAAATTTGTATAAAGCTTGTATAACTTTCATCATTTACTAGAATATTTACTGGAATATTTACTTCATTTTTTCAATATTTGAATTTTTCCAACATTTACCAAAATAAATTTAAAGGTTTTAGTATCATTATAAAATCGATTTCTTATTAAAATTAAATTTCTTAAATTTTTTTCTTACGTATATATTTTTTAAAATATCTAGGTAAAAACTTCTCATTCTGTTTGTTAGAAATATACATAATTTGCTATTATGGTTTATTTACGTTTGACGTTATCTCTTTAAATTTCCAAAAAAGGAGACTAGAAAAATTCTACCAGAAGAAAAAAGGAATACTATTTAATTTCGAACTAAATAAATTATTAAATCAAATTTATTTTAATCGATTAATTAAATGGCACCGTAATCATAAGACTTTTAAGTTACATTACATTATTACCACAAATTCAAAGTATTCAACAAGATTGTATGTAGTCAAACATACTCCAAGTATTAATACACGTTTCTTTGAATGTGACGTTTATTTTCTTTGAGAAAAATTTTAATAAATGAACGGTATAAATAGGATATAAGAAACGGAATTTCAATGGTTGTTCGCAATTGAAATGACGATGTCGGAAGTTCAATTTGTCAGAACTGAAATTCAAGATTTTATTAGGGCATAAATAAAATACTAATAGAAGTATAAAAGTTGGATATTTCCGATAATCAAGAATACCAATTTGAATAATTTATTGGTTTAAATAAAAATTCTTCTAGTGACGAACAGATAAAAATATCTTCTATTGATGTAAAAATTATATATCATAGACTATAGATTATAGATTTAGGAAAAAGATATTAAAAGAAGATATTTTTATCTGTTCTCATAAATGGTACATACGAAGAGATTGAATAAAATGGTTATTAAACTGATTAAACGAATAGTTAAATTTTTAATAATTTTAAGTGTATTTTATGTTTTATTACAACTTACAATTGTTTAAGTTAAACAGTATAAAGGTAAATAATGGAATACAAAAGTTAGTATTAAATGTAATGAATAGAGACCCGAAATGTTTTAATACCCATCAATACAAATTAATTTTGTCGTAAAGAAATTTACATGTATGTCTATTGATTAAATTATTATCGAATGATGAAATTTGCATTTTAATCATAAAAAAGCTATATATTGTAATAATTCTCATTTCTAAAAATTAGAAATTAGAATAATTTATTGGTATAGTAACAATTATTTAAGTATAATGTTATGTTCTAGTATAATTTCAGTAGCCGAAAGCTTAGATATTTATTTTACTCTCTATTACAATAAGTCGAATATTGCAAGGATCGAAATTAATGGATTCTTTTCGTTTTTAAACAAATTCTGTTTGAACTATTTCGTATGAGAAAATATCTGTTTTCATGGAATTTTTATAAAAAGAAGTGTTACACTTATTCAATAGTGTTCTCTCAATGGAACAGAATCTGTTTAATAAAAATTTCATGAAAATAAGTTATTTTAGGACATTCAGTCAAAAATCCATTTTTATATTCGGAATAATATTTACTACAAATATTGAGTATTTGTAGAAATCTTTAATATTGGTGAACAAATCATCCATGCTTTTTGGCAGGAAAATTTTTATTTTTATATTTCATAAGTTTTGTTCTGTTTGGAACTTTTATTTTTAAGAACATTTATTTATCTGTTCTAATTGTCTCGGTTGTAATGTAACATAAGAACACTTTTCGAAAAAGTTCTATC